CTGAATGGACATTTTTCCCCTAAGGTTTAAAACGGTTACAACGAATCAGCTATGAAAAAATTAGATTACTTTGAGGCTATAATTCTTAAGATTTTTTGAAATGTATCGAATTTTCCGAACATCTCTGATATCCCAAATACAAACATCGGCATCGTCAACATATGAGGAAAATAACAAATTTTAATTACAAGCTATATAGCCATCCAGAGGAATGTTGCAACATTAAATTAGAAAGAATCACCAACCATTACACGAATGTTAAACTCGAAAAGAAGAAAGCTTCCCGTCGGCTGATATAAATTGAAACCTGATGCAACCCAATACTAAAGGATACTGTCACTTGAATCTAAGGGAATCCCAAAAGACTAACTAACAAAAACTGTCCAAGAACTTCAGTCTCTGGAAGACTAGTTTAAGGACTTCTGTTTATAGACTTCTGCAGATCTTTCTAAGACTTCCTAGTCTTATAAGACATGTAAAATGTCTTCTATCCATTGAATACATATAAAAAGTCTTCTATACTAGAAATGTCTTAGATATGGAGGACTTCTCAATGATTATCAATGATTACTATGGATAGAATCCATAGTAAGTACAGTAGAACTTCGATAATTCGTAACAAACTGTCGGTCCCTTGAAAAATCTCGATATTTCGTAAAATTTACACGCATTTTTGTCCCATCGAAAAACATCGATATTCGTATTTTTTTTACCTCGTTAATTCGTAATCTCGACAATTCGTAATCTTCGATAATTCGTAAAAATTTGCTGGTCCCTTGAATTACGAATTATCGAAGTTCTACTGTATTTTCAAAGTGCTGTAACTATAGAACACCTCTTTTGGAACTCTATCAACAGATAGCACAATGACGGGAGATAGCGACCCTCAGATGACACTAAATAAGCAAGGACACCGACCAATGCTCAAAACTAAAGAAGGCGTTGTGTCTAGACTACGACAGATGGCAGCTCCATATAGCTCGAATAAAAACAATGAAATAATTAACGAAACTAACACAAGGACTGATCGAGTAAGACGACGATTTTTGAATGAAAATTTACAAAAACTTTTTTTGGGAAGCAGCTACGCATGAAATTTGTGAAAATTCTATTGGGATAAGTTAACTGCGAATTTGTTCGATATAATCTTAAGTGTTGGAATAGTTCTAAGGTTTTTAAAGTTCAGTTAATACAGGAACGTCGTGTCTTGCCTAATTGAAACTCTTCTAGATCATTTAGATACTTCCGGGTTGTTCTGGGGTGGAGAGTTCTATTCCATATGATGATTAGGATGATTCTGTTTGAAACACCTAAACAGGTACTCTAACGAAGGCATATTGATATGCTGACGTAAGGGAATGATCTTCGCATCATCATGTAAATAGTCTACATCTATCATGAGGAGGCACCTTGTTGTTTTCTCATTGTATAGCAATAGTATTTGAGGGGTACACTGCCTTAACATAGCTGGCCACAGACCAACCAATCGATTCATAAAAGGTCAACATGGTTTCCTTATCTTCTAAGTGCTGCCAAGCAACCGACTGAAGGACATTATTCTTACTTCTCAACTTATCGCAGATAGCTCTGCTTTGTGCGGACGATTTAAATATGATATCGAATACAACTGCGAGAATTTTTGGGGTAGTAGGTGCCCCTCTACATTCAATGGCTTTTTCATCTCTGCAGTTTACGTCGTAAACAATATGGTCTGAAGCACCCAGACAGGCACCCAACGAAATCATAAGGGCTCAACAAGGTTTCCTTATCTTCCAAGTGCTGCCAGGCAACCGACTGGAGGACATTATTAATACTTATCAACTTATCGCATATAGCTCTGCTTTGTGCGGACGATTTAAATATGATATCGAATACAACTGCGAGAATTTTTGGGGTAGTAGGTGCCCCTCTACATTCAATGGCTTTTTCATCTCTGCAGTTTACGTCGTAAACAATATGGTCTGAAGCACCCAGACAGGCACCCAACGAAATCATAAGGGCTCAACAAGGTTTCCTTATCTTCCAAGTGCTGCCAGGCAACCGACTGGAGGACATTATTAATACTTATCAACTTATCGCATATAGCTCTGCTTTGGGCGGACGATTTAAATATGATATCGTATACGACTCCGAGAATTTTTGGGGTATTGGGTTCCCCTCGACATTCAATGGCTTTTTCATCTCTGCAGCCCATGTCGTAAACACTGTGGTCGAAGATTTAATGTCGGATATTTCCATATATCTCGCGTGATTGAAGGCTACTGAATCGGTGAGATCAAACGCCATGATCCTTTAATCATCTGCATACGTAATGATCCGTAGATATCACCACACCCGGGAAACTCTTATCTTCACTCTACGCTTTTTTTCCGGAAACGCAAAAATCTCAAAGCCGTTTGGGAGACGTAATGTACGGAAAGGTAGAGACTAATCTCCGGAGATATTATCTAGACTGGTAAAATCCCTACTTGACTCTACGGGGTTTGGACTTCTTATTTCGGAACTCCACGAATAACTGGCGTGCACAAATATAATTTAATATCTAACGTTTCAAACTTGACCGGGGAGAAGATTTTTGATGTACTCAGAAAGTGTGGCATGATTGAATAAAGGTTTATATGTGTGGTTATCACGTGCAATATTGTTGTTGATGATCCGCAACTGGATAGATTTCGCTACCGGTGACAAAAGTGAGATCGGTCTGTACGGGATTACTATGGCCATTGTTTACCATATTATAAAGTAAGGTTAGACCTTTAAATCATTGTCAAAAAATATTACTAGGCAGTTAGCTTGTTTATAAAGAATCACTGGATTTCGTCTGACCCCTAATGGTAGAGGCGAGCAAAGAACGGTAAGAAGGGCTAATAAATTATTTTACACGTTGCGATCTTTCACAAGAAGCTATGAATTGCCATCCGACCTTTAATTTGTGTAAAAAGACTAACTAAATTATATTCTGAGATCCGGTACCTTCTTAGACACCTTTTAAAAATGTTGCTGTTTTAGAAGTCAGAGAGCGTATAGAGACGGGATAAATACACTTAGTCCCTTAGAATGTATATGAAATCACTCTGGACCTTCAACTTGTCTATACTGGCACATGAGCTAATATATATAAATATTTAGTGATCCTTCAGCTTATTTATAAAGTATTCATTAGACCTTAAAGGACCCCTGGATATGTCTGTAATAAATGCCAGAGAATAATTAGAGACTACAGAAGGGCTAATAATAATACTCCCCGATTCTTCAGAAGAAGTTAATTTGTGTATCCTAGATCTTTTGTTCACTCGTACAGACACGTTGGACCTTTCTGTACTCCTTTCTGTAGTCTTTGTATATGAGACAAGATAATGGGTTACGGGTTCTACAATTACTACTTAGTCCCTCAGAAGGTATATAAAATCACTTGGATCCTTCAACTCATTTATATAGTCTCTTGAGGTGGTCTTGCTATACCCTACACAACTATGTTGTCAGGGTATTATAGCTTTGTGCAGCTCCAAAAGTTTGTAACGCAGCGAAATATTGGTCGTAGACCCACCTTTAAGTATACCGATCGTCATATCTCGACGATCTGAGTCGATCTAGACATGTGTGTCCGTCCGTCCGTCTGTCCATTATAATTTGTAAACACGATACAGGCCACAGTTATGGACCAATATTCACGAAATTTTGCATGTAGGATGGGTTCTGGCCAATTGTTTTTGGGAAAGATCGGTTAATATTTAGGGGATGGAATGGACCAAATACTCAATTTTTGTCGGTTTTTCTGGTCGCTCCAGAGGCCGCAATAGTGGCCCGAACATCGTGAAATTTTGCATGGAGAAGGGGATCAGGCCAAAGAATAAGCATGCCGGTTTTGATAAAGATCGGACAATATTTATCGGATCAAATGAACCCTGACTTTTGTGTGAAAAATGACAAAATTTGTATTCTATTGCGTATATATTTACCCCTGAAGGTCATAGACCTGAGAAGTTGATATTGTATCCAAGAGGAGTGGTTGACCTTTAAATTAATACCAATTATATTGTTGTATGTGCTCGGATGTGGGATTTACACCTAAATATTTACAGGTATCTCCGTATTTGTATATTATTTAGTAACCCATTATCACTCTAGAGAGCGGAACTATAGCGCAGATCGCTTTGAAATGTTCCATGAGGTTCCAAGGTCAAGGACAACGCCTATAATTTTCGGTGATGATCAGATAATTATTTTGGAATGAAGTGGGCCGAAAACATATTTTTTTGTGTTATTTTCGAGACGATCTATAGACCACTACTGAAAGCCGAACATCACAATACAACCCACGGTGAAGGGAATCTGGACAATAAATGTACTGAAACTCGTAATATTCGGAAAATATGTCAGTGTGAGGAAGAGGTGCTGTTTACCTCTAATCGGGCAAGAGGGTGCAAATATCACTAAATATTGCCCAGGCTCGGAATAAACATCCGCAGAAAATTTGAGTTCCGTGGTAGTTGTGTAGGGTATCGTATGGACGGCCCAGTCCGACTATCCTGCTCCGTTTTATATTCTGTATGTGGAACATTTTAAAGTTCTATCCTGATTTCAACAGACCGACATGTCTAAATGTGTTATGAATATTTCGAAGTGTTGGTGGAGGGTACAAAAAATAATGCTCATGTTTTATAAAATCTATCGAAATGAATGCTGCCTTCTTTTGCATTACAGCTGACATTATTTTCTTAAATTTATATATATATATATATACATATGTATATCTGTATGTACATATGTTTCATTGTGTATATATATATATTTACTAGGATGTTTTTGTTTTTCTTTTATTGTAAATATATATTTATGTCTATATATAAATAAATTACTTGCTGTTGTTGTTGCTGTAGTTGTTCATATGTTAATATGACTTACATTGTAGTTGTTGTTGTTGGATTTGTGCAATTTATTTCTTTTATTTGATGGATTTGTATGTATGTGTGTGTGTTTGCCATCCATGCAGCCGCCTATTAACGTATATAATGCCACATGGCTGTCGGCTTTCGGGCATTATTTATCATGTCATGCCAATGTTGACAACCGGTACCACTTTCTTGTGGTCCCAAACCAATACTGCCGATTTCTTGTGATTCACCGCCAGCTGTAACCAAATAGATCTGCGTGGGGGAGGATGACAAGGAGGTAGAAAATGGGGAGAAGAAAAAAAGAAAAATTTAGGAATTTAATATAGAGTAATGAAACATACAATTTATTTATATGAATCAATATTTATACAGTCAAACATGGTTATAACGAACAAGGGAAATTCCGCATATCTAATAAAATCCTATCCCACAATAATCGTTATATATATATATATATAGATATATATGTTTGACTGTATTACATATGCATGTAACTTATAAACTTTTGAAATTGACAGCATTTCAGTTTTGTGGTCTTTGATTATCGCAAAAGGTCAAAGTTTATTTCTATATTTATTTTGGGATACTTGACAACTTCTTACCTCAATAGCCGCATTGTGTAAATATGACGATTGTAAATTAAAGGTGAAAGGTTCATTCCATGTTGGATGGGTGGGATCATCGGTTTTGCTAATGCTGGTCTTACGCTTCTTAACACGTTTGCCATTCTGTATTAGATATAACTGGAAATATACAATTAAAAATAAATAACATTTATTTATGGGAGATAAGAACACAAATGACTTTTGAAGACTTCCAAGCTTATAAATGTACTCCCTATACATCAAAGAACGTTTATAGGTCCAAAAAGAGCAAATGGCCAGGGAGACTATTCACAGAAGAATTAAAGTTTGGGGGCTCTTGAGACAGCAGCTGAATGGCAGACAGTCTATATAGACGTGTTGGTAGTCATAGAGTCTGTAAAGCCGAAAAGGGACGTTACGGAATCAATTACTTCAGTACGTCTATAAAATAACGCTTTGCCTTATTAGTTCTTTAGCTTATTTCTAAAGAATCGCCTGATTTCGTCTGATCCCTAATGAGCCCCTGGGCTGACTCATAGTCGAGCAAGGAACGATAAGAAGGACTAATAATTTTTTTACACTTTGGGACCCTTGAGAAGAAGGAGAAGCTATGAAGTCCCATCTGACTTTTAAGTTGGGTATAAAGACTCGTTAGTCTTCCAATTCATTTGTATTGAATTTAGCTACTTTCTAATACTCCCCGATTCTTCAGAGGACCCACTTGTCCTTTAAGTTGTGTACACTTGATCCTCTGTCCACTCATACAGATCCGCTGGACCTTTCTGTACTCCTTTTTCCAGTCTCTATACGATGTCTGACTAGTATACAATGTGATACATGTGATATTCAGCTGACCTCTGAATAAGCCAGAGAGCCTATGAAGACGAGACAAATGCGGGGTTCAACACGAGCTATATGTCTGATAATATTCATGGACGAGGAATGACCTAGAAAGGGAAGGGCAAGACTTTTTTTTAAATAATTCCAGATCCTTCAGAAGAACATATGAAGACCACTCTGATCTCTATTTATGTACCCAGAATCGCTACATCGCCATGGACCGTCTGGGAATCCCTTTGGGTATTCAGGTACTTTATAAGATGGTCTGGAGAGGCCAGTTTGATGGCAAAGAGTCTATGTAGATCTTTCCTAGCTTCTTGAGCCTCATCTGGTCTCTATAGAGCCTCGGGGCAGATCCAGTGGCGTTGTGTCAACGAGTTTAAAGTCAGAGATAGTTTATGGACGATATGAACGCCAAAGAGTATTAACGAGTTATCCAGAAGCTATGAAACCCTTTAATTTGTGTGTAAGGACTGGCTAGACCTTCACTTCGTCTATATCAACATCCTGAACCTTCTTGACTCCTTTTAGACATTCAGATACAATCTTTAGACTATTCATTAACAGAGATCAACGCGCCTGGAAATACTTTTTAAGCTCGGCTTATGGAACAAATGTTCTGTCTCGAGCCAGCTATGTAAGTAAGAGATCTATGGGCCTTGAGCTAATTAAAAAAAACTCCTTATCCCTTCATTTCGTTTCTCTAGAAACTTATGGAGACTCTGGGTAGATTTGAGGTCTTCAATGAAGTACAAAGACTCTCTAGACCTTTAGTTTGTTAATATATAGTTACTGGGACTTCATGGGTCCATCTACAATTTCCCCTGTATATTTCCTTCCAGTTATCTACAGAGTCTACTTTTCGGTATGTTCTAAGTATATTTATAAACGAGTTGAAACCCATAGAACCTTTAGGGACGATAATAAATGTTCAGGAGTTTTCATGTACTCCAATCCTTCAGAAGAAGCCACATAGACATCTTGATCTTTATCTTGTGTAAAAAGGCCCGCTAGACAAATTCGTTTAAGCAGATTACCTGAACCTTATTGATACCCCTGTGACATTCACCTACTTTATATATACTCTAGACTTTTAGCTCTGGTAATTTGCCTTTATAAGGCACATAAATTAAGGCCTCTTACGCTCGTCTACAACTATGCCCTTCAGATCGTCTATAAATACTCCCTCCAGCTCGTCTATAAATACTCCCTCCAGCTCGTCTATAAAAACTCTATACAGTTCGTCTAGAGAATCCCATCAATTCGTTTATAAATACACCGCCCAAATCTACTAAAAAGACTATTTCCAGTTCGTTTATAAATGCACCCTCCAGCTCGTCTATAAAGACTCCCTACAGCTCGTCTATAGGGGCTCCCATTAAGTCGTCTATAAATACTCCACACAACATTCCCCAGGTTGCCTATAGAGACTCCCTCCAGCTCGTTTATAAAGACTCCCATTCAGTTCGTCAATAGTGACTCCGTTATGGTTGTCGATGGAGACTCCCTTCAAGTCGTCGAGACTCTCTTTAGGTCTTCCATAGAGACTTCCATCATCATAAAGTCTCTCAGAATCAGTTCTGCTCCCTTCCGTTTATCTATATAGGCTACAATCAGCTCGTCTGTATAGACTCCCCTCGGATGGTCCGTAAAGGCTCTCTGTTTCAGGTAATATATTAAGACTCGTTACACACGATATATCCTTAAAAACGACCTCCAGCTTGTTTATAAAGAAAATCTTCAGCTGTCTATAAAGACATATTTGAAACTGACCTTCATCTCGCCTGTAAAGATGATCTCTAACTCTTCTATAAGGCTTCTCTCAATAAAGAATCTCTTAAAAAATCCCCTATATAATGTCCGTATTTTAGCCTTCAGTAACTCCCTCCCGCTAGTCAATGACCCTCCTTACCTTTACATATGTCTCCTGAATGGTATCCAAATTTTTCGCCTTCATGATGACAACAGTTAAACGTTCCGCTTGTGGTAAATAATTCAGGGAGCAAAGTAATTCTGGACGATCCTCTGGTGGTTTCTTTGTGCGTAATAAATCACCCCAAATCTGGAAGAACACAATTCATAATTATTTTAATAATCCATAATGTATCACCAGGTCCGGCTCTTACCTCCACAGATTTCGATAAATCCAAACTGTCGATACAAATTCGTACCTCGCCGATAATGTCATTGTGCGAATAGCGATCATAATCCAATACCTGTAAAATTAATTCTTTGCCCTGCAATTGATCTCGTGAAACGGGGAATTTGAAATGTTGATCAAAATAGGGATTTGATTCACCGCGATGAATTAGGGTCTGACGTTTGCGTTTATCAACTTCGGGTTCAAGCAATAGCCTAACATAGGGATCACGGAAACCACCCTCTTCAATGGGACATAAATTGTGAGCTGTGTATAAAGAAAAACAAAGAAATGGTTAATGTTGATAGGTTCTTTGGATCCAATTTATATAGTCTATCATACCTTCAATCAAGTGCACAGTCAAATCGAACAAATGATAATCATATTTAACCCTTAAATGTAAACGTCCCAAAGCCGGACTATTTTCGGGAGCATTTAAATAAATCGGGCCATCTGGTCCACGATATAAATCTGGTTGTATAGCACCCAATGGAGAAGCTGGTCCCATATTAGGATCCGAGTTAGGTTGTATTCGTGGCGGTATCAGTAACGGGGAAATGCAACGTCCTGAATGTTTTCCACCATGTGGTGATGTCATCGATGCATTCGGTATACTGGACAAGGATGTTAGACTATTCTGTGATGGACTTGGTGTGCGTAAATCGCTGACTTCGGCTGCTATCTGACTGGCGGCACGGGCATCCAGAGATATTGTGCGCATTGGACTGGGGGTACGGGATAACTGGAAAGCAAGAAAAAATGGGATAGTAATTTTATAAAAATAATCTGATGAGGCGGTATGACTCACATAATAGGGGAATATCGGTTCCGAAGGCAATGAGCTGCGTCCATCTGGACCAAAGGTACGAATTTGTGGTGATGAGCCACGGTGACACTATAAGGAAAAAAAAATATAAATCTCACAAATTAATACCGGAAACGAAATGAGTGCTAACTTACCGATTGCCTTGATGGTGCACTATCTACACTGGATTGACTAGATATTGAAGGCGTCCTTTGTAGTCTTGGCGGAAATGATCGTGACTGATGATGCAAATGCAATGGACTGTGCAATGCCTCCGATGGACCCCGCAATACATCGGCATTAACCGTATGCGATGAACCCAAATTCGACTGTGGCTGTATGTGTTGCGATTCCTTGGTAAAATTTACTTCCTGCAAAGAGATAGGGGGAGGGATTTGATATTAGTTATGGTTTAAGACAAAAATTTGAAAGATGGATCTTCCATGGAATATATTGCTGGAAAAGAGGAGTTATTAAAAAAAGATAGGATAATGTTTGGTCTGCACAGCTCATCAGTAAAGACCGGTATATAAAGACTCCCCCAAGATCGCCTACAAAGACTTCTCTCAGCTCGCATATGAAGACTCCCTTCAACTCTTTTATAAGACTCCCTTCAACTCTTCTATAAGACTCCCTTCAACTCGTCTGTAGACCCCTTTCAGCTCGGCAATAAAGACTCGCCTTCAGCTTTTCCATAGACATTACCCTTAACTCGTCTAGAGAGTCTCCCTACAGCTCGTTTATAAAGACTCCCTCCTTAGCTCGTCTATAAAGACTCCCTCCTTAAAAGATTCTGACTATAAAGACTCCCTGCTTCAACTCGTCTATAAAGAGTCCCAGCTTCAGCTCGTCTATAAAGACTCGCTGCTTCAGCTCGTCTATAAAGACTCCCTGCTTCAGATCGTCTATAAAGACTCCCTGCTTCAGATCGTCTTTAAAGACTCCCTGCTTTAAAGCTCGTCTATAAAGACTCCCAGCTTCACAGCTCGTCTATAAAGACTCCCAGCTTCACAGCTCGTCTATAAAGGCTCCCTGCTTCACAGCTCGTCTATAAAGACTCCCTGCTTCACAGCTCGTCTATAAAGACTCCCTGCTTCACAGCTCGTCTATAAAGACTTCCTGCTTCACAGCTCGTCTATAAAGACTCCCTGCTTCAGCTCGTCTATAAAGACTCCCTGCTTCAGCTCGTCTATAAAGACTCCATGCTTCAGCTCGTCTATAAAATACTCCCTGCTTCTGCTCGTATATAAAGACTCCATGCTTCAGCTCGTCCATAAAGACTACCTGCTTCAGCTCGTCTATAAAGACTCACTGCTTCAGCTCGTCTATAAAGACTCCCTGCTTCACAGCTCGTCTATAAAGACTCCCTGCTTCACAGCTCGTCTATAAAGACTCCCTGCTTCACAGCTCGTCTATAAAGACTCCCTGCTTCACAGCTCGTCTATAAAGACTCCCTGCTTCACAGCTCGTCTATAAAGACTCCCTGCTTCACAGCTCATCTATAAAGACTCCCTGCTTCACAGCTCGTCTATAAAGACTCCCTGTTTCACAGCTCGTCTATAAAGACTCCCTGCTTCACAGCTCGTCTATAAAGACTCCCTGCTGCAGCTCGTCTATAAAAACTCCCTGCTTCAGCTCGTCTATAAAGACTCGCTGCTTCAGCTCGTCTATAAAGACTCCCTGCTTCAGATCGTCTATAAAGACTCCCTATAAAGACTCCCTGCTTCAGCTCGTCTATAAAGACTCCCTGCTTCACAGCTCGTGTATAAAGCCTCTCTGCTTCACAGCTCGTCTTTAAAGCCTCCCTGCTTCACAACTCGTCTATAAAGACTCCCTATTTCAGCTCGTCTATAAAGACCCACTGCTTCAGCTCGTCTATAAAGACTCACTGCTTCAGCTCGTCTATAAAGACTCACTGCTTCAGCTCGTATATAAAGACTCCATGCTCGTCTATAAAGACTCCCTGCTCGTCTATAAAGACTCCCTGCTCGTCTATAAAGACTCCCTGCTCGTCTATAAAGACTCCCTGCTCGTCTATAAAGACTCCCTGCTCGTCTATAAAGACTCCCTGCTCGTCTATAAAGACTCCCTGCTCGTCTATAAAGACTCCCTGCTCGTCTATAAAGACTCCCTGCTCGTCTATAAAGACAACCTGCTCGTCTATGAAGACTCCCTGCTAGTCTATAAACACGATCTGCTTCAGCTCGTCTATACAGACTCGTGCTCGTCTACAAAGACTCTCTGTTCGTCTTTAAAGACTCCCTGCTTCAGCTCGTCTATAAAGACTCGCTGCTTCAGATCGTCTATAAAGACTCCCTGCTTCAGATCGTCTATAAAGACTCGCTGCTTCACAGCTCGTCTATAAAGATTCCCTGCTTCACAGCTCGTCTATAAAGACTCCCTGCTTCACAGCTCGTGTATAAAGCCTCTCTGCTTCACAGCTCGTCTTTAAAGCCTCCCTGCTTCACAACTCGTCTATAAAGACTCCCTGCTTCACAGCTCGTCTATAAAGACTCCCCTGTCTAGAGACTTTCCTCAAGTCCCATGAGTCTGTATATAAATATTACTCTTAGTTCGCCTGTAGGGACCCCCCTCGAACTTCGTTCTGAATATTTTCTTCGGTTGTCATTTTTTTCGAAAGTCCCACCTGTTCCGAATCCGTATGCAGTTCATAACTATCCGTTACACTGCATATACCGCTCGTATTTGAGGTTATCGATGAGGCCGATGGTGGCGGTGTCATTGGCTGTGATAGTGGTGGTGTGTGTGAGGTTGTGGCAGCCGTAGCGCTGACATTGTTGCTGCTACAACTACTGCTGGCATTTGTTGTTGAGTGATTACTGTTGCTGCTGCTACCCGCCTGTTGCTGTGATGTTGATGGCGCCTCTTCCGAATTACGATCCAATGTTACTTTACGTACCGCACCGACACGTTCCTTGGCCATACGAGACCATGATTCGATACGTTTGTGGGCAAGCCAGCATGCAGCTGGACCAAGACCACTCATTATTTGAGAAAATATTTTGACGGAGTTATGGTAAACACGTTGAGGCTAAAAATAAGCTGACAAATTTGCGGAAAGTGGCAGGCAGAATTGCGGTCCGTTTTTTTTCACTACCCAGGGGAGTGATGTTCTAAACGGACTGGAAGGAAGATGTTTGTTGTTGTGATTGTTGTTGCTGTTGTTGGTGTTTATTTTACGGTTTTTTATACATTGGCAAAAAAGTTTTGTTGTTTGTTTTTCGTTATTTTTTATTTATTGGCTGGTGGTGTTTTTGTGCTGAAATTACACTTTGTTGTTAGACAGTGGAACAAGGTTATGACGAACACTTCTGTAATTAACCCATTTTTTACTGACTTTTATAAGTGATCAACTGTTATAAAAAGTAATGGCAACAACGAAGTGGCTTGTTTGTTATGTATAACCAGATTCCACTGTAGACCAATTGGATCCAATCAGAATAGGTTAAAATTTGTGTTCTTTATGAGAAGTTATCCCATGCAGAACATAATCAGAAGTATTCATTATTTTCAGTAGCTCGTAGTAACCATTGTTCGTTTTATAGGTGTCCCACTGTCAATAATATTTTTTTTTGCCAGTTTCATAAATATTTAATAAAATCTTTGTTTATCGTGTGTGTGCGTTTGCTTTGTTGTTTCCCTTTATCGTTGTTATTTTTTGTTTTGTTGTTTTTTATACAATAAAGATAAGGTTATTTATTAATTTAGCAGATCCTGAAAATGTGTGCTTGGTTATTGGAAAGAGTGTCCTTGTCCTTGGCTGTGTTGGCTTTCACCAACAGAAGACAATATTACCACAAAAATGATAAGGATGATACTCCAGGTTGGGAGTTGTGGGTGTTATAAAAATCGGTATGTATATATGTGTGTGTTCGTGTGCTTGTATATATTCGCCATATTCTTTCCTACCAGACCTGTGGAGACTTTCACATGTTCTTGTTGTGGTTTTGTTTTGTTGTTTTTTTCTCCTTTTTTGTCATAACTCATCTCATCTCACATTCACCCATTTTCTGCTAGCGGTTAAACCACTACTAGCTATTCGCACAACCTATCACTGTCATTTACTTTTGTCGGTTAACCATGTGAATTTCGGACTTGTAACCATCACACAATTAGGCGTAAAATATCCTCTAACCTGCATTATTAAGCTAGGCTGTCGTTGATCGGGTGGTCATTTATCAGCCGTTTGATATACAGGGAGAGATTTAGATACAACGGCAAGGAAGCTAATATGCCTTGTGGTATTCCTGGAACTCCATTGCCTGGTAGGAGTATGGGTTTAATGGCCTGAAAACCACACATAATTGATGTTTCACCCGAAAAAAAACGCAACGTCAAAACGTCTAATGACATCAAATGTGACCAAAGATATGTGCAATGGATGGATTGGTACGATATCTGGTTTAGTATCATGATGTATGATGAGTGATAGAGAGGTATTTTTTTTTTTGGTTGTTAAAGGAAAACTGGAATTTTTAGGAATTAAGAAGGCATGCGATCTCGAGGTGACTTATTGGTGGTCTTCAACGCCTATGAAAGAGTTGTAGTATACTATATATATATAATTGAATGTTTGTGTGTATGGCAATGGCCTAATTTTTGGTACCAAAAGTAGTATACATCTTGAGAAAAATGCAAAAATAAACCAATAAACAATATTGTGAAGGACGGAGGCGATCCTGCGATGACCTACACAGATACCATTGGGCTTTGAATGTTTGTGGTGCTAATTACCCAGCCTGGGCAATTAGCACGCCTTACTAAACAATGTGAGAATTTCTAGAACCGTGTAGATATTTTTGTATAACTCCCATGTCCGAGTATATACATCAATATAATTTAAAGGTCAACCATTTCTATTGGATTCACTCACTATCGACTACTCGAGACTTTGTCTCCTGGATTAAAAATAAATGCTGTGAAAGGAAATGTTTGTAATTCAGATCGCCTTCCCCGTGTTCGGGTCATAAATGCGGCCACTAGAACGATTATAAAAATAATCAGAAATACAATTTTTGTCTAATATAGGCCGATCATCTCAAAAAACTATAGGTATTGTGCTTGGTCTGTACGGTACACAAGATCGAAGTCTCTAAGGAGTACAGATAGCCGAATACTCTATATACAAATGAAGATATTTTAATACAATTATTAATTGCACCTATCTGTTATATTTAATCATGAACTGATTTTAACAGAACTTAACAACCGTCATATTCTAAATTTCGCCTCAATCGAGCAAACCTTTGGGAGTTTAGGTTAGTGTATGGTAGTATGGGATGGCAAAAAAGCATTTTTGCTGAATTTTTCGATATAGGAGTCTCTATTGACATAAGTCCGAAAAAAGGTCCTTCCATACTTTTTGTATTTTAGGGTTTTAGTCGAATTTTCCCACCAAAGTGGTGGATGAACAAAATGTTTGCAGACACCCCCTATATTCACAGAATCGTATATTACATGAATAGTGTTCAGAAAGTGTTGCCAATGTCCGGATTCCTGCATTATATATATATATATATATATATTTTATGAAATAAAACTTAAAACATTGGTTTCTTGCCAGAGAGAGAGAGAGAGAGGGATAGAGAAAGAACATTAGAACGACCGCATGCAATGTTAAATATTCGGTTAGGTTTCATGCTCGTATGCAAATTTGTATGATATATTGTATTTCGCACTTATATCGAAATAATTTGGAAAACACATATGCGAATTTTATAACTGCAAACAATGGAATGCAAAACTAACACTTGATTGTGGAGAGACGACGGCAAAACTAACAACCAATAAACGAGTGGGGAAGCGGAGGGTGTGTGGTGTTGTTGTCAAAAGAGAGAGAGAGAGAGTGAGAGAGATAGGAAAAATGAGCTCAAATAGTGGCAAATTGAGCAAAGTAGGAAAAGAATTTTGATATTAATGAAATGTTGACAGGTTTTGGAAATAATAGTAGGTACATCTACAATATGAAACCAGTGAGCGGAGCAGTATAGTCGGACGGGGCCGACCATACGATACCCTACACAACTACCACGGAAGTCAATTTTCTGCGTATGTATATTCCGAGCCTGGGCAATATTTCGTGATATTTGCACCCTTTTGCCCGATTAGAGGTAAACAGCACCTCTTCCTCACACTGACATATTTTCCGAATTTTACGAGTATTCAGTATAGCTATTGTCTAGATTCCCTTCACTGTGGGTTGTGTTGTGGTGTTCGGCTTTCATTTGTGGTCTATAGATCGACTCGAAAATAACACAAAAAATTAAGTTTTCGGTCCACTTCATTCCAAAATTATTATATGATTATCACCGAAAATTATAGGCGTTGTCCTTGGCCATAACTGGAACCTCATGGAACATTTCAAAGCGATCAGCGCTATAGTTCCGATCTCTACAGTGATAATGGGCTACTAAATAATATACGAATACGGAGATACCTGTAAATATTTAGGTGTAACTCCCACATCCGAGCACATACAACAATATAATTGGTATTAATTTAAAGGCCAACCACTCCTCTTGGATATAATATAAACTTCTCGGGTCTATGTCCTTCAGGGGTAAATACATACGCTATAGAATACAAAGTTTGTAATTTTTCACACAGAAGTCAGGGTCCATTTTACCCGCTAAATATTGACCGATTTTTATGAAAACAGGAATGCTTATTCTTTGGCCCGACGAAAATTTAGTATTTGGTCCATTTCATCCCCTAAATATTAACAGATTTTTCCCAAAAACAGTAGGGGTCTTCATTGGCCAGAACCCATCAATTTCGTGCAGGTTGGTCCATAACTGTGGCCTGTATGGTGTTTACAAATTATAATGGATGGACGGACACACATATCTAGATCGACTCAGCTAGTCGAGATATGACGATCGGTATACTTATAGGTGGGTCTAGGACCAATATTTCGCGGTGTTACAAACTCTTGGGGCTGCACAAAGCTATAATACCCTGACAACATAGTTGTGTAGAGTATAATTATTAATTACAATGACTGTAACCCATATAAACTTTCTTTAGATAAAAGTGCCATGACTCTTCCGAAATTTAACAAAACTCGCATTGTCCTGCAAAATAAAATATGACTAAATTTATTCCTTACTTTATCATTTTGCTGTGTCACATTTATCAATAATATTGTTACAACATTGAACGGCTTCCAACCATCAAAGTATACCTTGGCCTTTTGCAGTCATAAATAATAAGAGCGACAGACTTCTTCTGATTTGGTGTATGGATTCCATACTGTGTCCTATCCTTACAGCACAAAGGAGAATTTGATAAAAACCAACCTTGAAATGTGATGGCCGTTGTGTAAAGGACACCTTTGACCACAATTTGCTGTGTGTGTTTGGCATGATTATGTGTGTGTGTGTTTGCCCTTATCTATCTATATTTGTATATATAGGTGAGACACAACAATATCCGATACTGTCACACATCACCATGCCTGACGTTAGTCAATGAAAGATTGAAAAGCAATTACAACCTTCAAATGCTGCAAAATTTGTAAAATATGGCAAATAGCCTGTCAGGGGAGATGGGATTTTTGTAACCTGAAGAACATGGTGTAATACACAGTTTTTTTTCTATTTCTCTGGAAGCAGAAAATGAAAACACGTTCAAAATTAAATTTCATTGGTACATCCCATACACCATCTTAAATAATATATGAAAATAAATCTTAAGGACAATTTTTGTTTCCGTATACATTTCCTGTGGCAATGAGCTGTTATCAACTTAATTACATTTTTTATTCTCTTCCCCTAACACATACGCTCACGCCCACGTCCATATGCGAAAGATAAGGAAATTGTTGTAGCACATAAAATCACACCCACCACTTGGTCGGATCATAAATTTGTCTCCTTTTTGACATGATTTCTGAGGTCACATCCATCCCATCGTTGCCACAAAACAACACAAAGTGGAGAGAAAAAAAAGGATTCTCTGCCAAAATGTCTACATTAACTCTTTAAT